TATTTGGCCTGTTCAGACTTTTTCCCAGACTCCCTCCCTGCTAGCTGTGGTGCACTAGCCCCTTCAGGGTGTGTTCACACTGCTCACCCCAGTCCTCTCCCTGTGATCTGACCAAAGCCCGAGCCTCAGCTCCCAACCCCACCCCCCTCCCCGGTGGGTGAGCAGACAAGTCTCTCGGGCTCTTGACTGCTGGTCGGCACCAATCCTCTGTGCAGGAATCTCTCCACTTTGCCCTCCGCACCCCTGTTGCTGTGCTCTCCTCCATGGCTCCGAAGTTCCCCCCCCGGCTGCGACCCGCAGTCTCCACCCGCAAAGGGGCTTCCTAGTGTGTGGGAACATTTCCTCCTTCACAGCTCCCTTCCACCGGTGCCAGTCCTGTCCCTATTCTTTTGTCTCTGTTTATTCTTTTTTCTTTTGCCCTACCCAGGTTCGTGGGGGGTTTCTTGCCTTTTGGGAGGTTTGAGGTCCTCTGTCAGCGTTCAGTAGGTGTTTTATAGGAGCAGTTCCACATGTAGATGTATTTCTGATGTATTTGTGGAGAGGAAGGTGATCTCCACGTCTTACTCTTCCGCCATCTTGAAGCTCCTCAAGTGTAACTTTTTACAAGTAGATTTCCATTCTTTTGATCTTTAGTAAGTTATACCACGTGCACCCAAAGGAAACTAATTTGATCCTCAGCTCTGTTTCTTTATTAGGAAGTGTATCCTACTTGTGCTAATGACAGAAATTAATCTTTAGTGAATTTTTATTAAGTATCTTCTCATTTTTGTGTCAATTACATATATAGGTAACACAATGGCATAAAATAGTTAAACTAAACACAAGCTGAAAGGACAAGGCATGCTCTTCAGTAAAATCTTTGGCAGTTGCTGATCCTCTATGAAACAAGTACGTCGGTGAATTCTATCAAACATTTAGAGAAGAGCTAACACCGATCCTTCTCAAACTCATCAAAAAATATTGCAGAGGGAGGTACACTCCCAAATTCATTCTACAAAGCCACCATCACCCTGATACCAAAACCAGAAAATGATATCACACAAAAAAGAAAATTATAGACCAATATCACTAATGAACATAGATGCAAAAATCCTGAACAAAATACTAGCAAACAGAATCCAACAACATATTAAAAGTATCATACACCATGATCAAGTGGGATTTATCCCAGAGATGCAAGGATTCTTCAATATATGCAAATCAATCAATGAGATACACCATATTAACAAATTAAGTAATAAAAGCCATACGATCATCTGAATAGATGCAGAAAATCTTTTGAGAAAATTCAACACCCATTTATGATAAAAACTCTCCAGAAAATGAGCATAGAGGGAACCTACCTTAACATAATAAAAGCCATATATGACAAACTCACAGCAAGCATCATACTCAATGGTGAAAAACTGAAAGCATTTCCACTAAAATCAGGAACAAGACAAGGATGTCTACTCTTGCCACTCTTATTCAACATAATTTTGGAAGTTCCTAGCCATGGCAATCAGAGAAGAAAAAGAAATAAAAAGAATACAAATTGGAAAAGAAGAACTAAAACTGTCACTGCAGATGACATGATACTAAACATAGAAAATCCTGAAGATGCCACCAGAAAACTATTAGAACTCAACAATGAATTTGGTAAAGTTGCAGGATACAAAATTAATGCACAGAAATCTCTTGCATTCCTATACGCTAACAATGAAAAATCAGAAAGAGAAATTAAGGAAACAACCCCATTTACCATCACAACAAAAAGAATAAAATACCTAGGAATAAACCTACCTAAGGAGGTGAAAGACATGTACTCAGAAAACTATAAAACACTGATAAAAGAAATCAAATATGACATAAACAGATAGAGAAATATACTATGTTCGTGGATTGGAAGAATCAATATGGTGAAAATGACTATACCACCCAAAGCAATGTACAGATTCAGTGCTATCCCTATCAAACTACCAATGGCATTCTTCACAGAGTCAGAACAAAAAATTTTATAATTCGTATAGGAACACAAAAGACCCTGAATAGCCAAAGCAATCTTGAGAAAGAAAAATGGAGCTGGAGGAATTCAGGCTCCCTGAATTCAAACTAAGCTACAGTAATCAAGACAGTATGGTACTGGCACAAAAACAGAAAGATAGATCAATGGAACAGGATAGAAAGCCCAGAGATAAACACACGCACATATAGTCACCTAGTTAATGACAAAGGAGACAAGAACATACATACAATGGAGAAAAGAGAGCCTCTTCAATAAGTGGTGCTCGGAAAACTGGACAGCTACGTGTAAAAGAATGAAATTAGAACACTACATAACACCATACACAAAAATAAACTCCATACGGATTAAAGACCTAAATGTAAGACCAGACACTATCAAACTCTTAGAGAAAAATACAGGAAAAACACTCTGACATAAACCACAGCAAGATCTTTTTTGACTCACCTCCTAGAGTAATGAAGATAAAAACAAAAATAAACAAATGGGACCTAATTAAACTTAAAGGCTTTTGCCCAGCAAAGGAAACTACAAACAGGACAAAAAGACAACCCTCAAAATGGGAGAAAATATTTGCAAATGAAACAACAGACAAAGGATTAATCTCCAAAATATACAAACTGCTCATGGAGCTCAACATTAAACAAACAAACCCCCCCCCAAAAAAAGTGGGCAGAATATCTAAATAGACATTTCTCCAAAGAAGACATACAGGTGGCCAAGAGGTACATGAAAAGATGTTCAACATCACTAATTATTAGAGCAATGAAAATCAAAACTACAATGAGGTATCACCTTACATGTTCAGAATGGCCATTATAAAAAATGTAGAAACAATAAATGTTGGAAAGTGTTGGTGAGAAGGGAGCCCTCCTGCAGGGTGGTGGGAATGTAAATTGATACAATCATTATGGAGGACAGTATGGAGGTTCCTTAAAAAACTAAAACTACCATATGACCCAGCAATCCCACTACTGGGCATATACCCTGAGAAAATCATAATTCAAAAAGAGTCAGGTACCACAATGTTCATTGCAGCACTATTTCCAATAGCCAGGACATGGAACCAAGCTAAATGTCCATTGACAGATGAATGGATAAATAAGATGTGGCACATATATACAATGGAATATTACTCAGCCATAAAAGGAAATGCAATTGAGTTTTTTGTAGTTAGGTGGATGGACCTAGAAACTGTTATACAGAGTGAAGTAAGTCAGAAATAGGAAAACAAATACCATATGCTAACGCATATATATGGAATCTAAAAAAAAAAAAAATTGGTTCTGATGAACCTAGGAGCAGGACAGGAATAAAGACGCAGATATAGAGAATGGACTTGAGGACACGGGGAGGGGGAAGTGTAAGCTGGGACGAAGTGAGAGAGTGGCATGGACATATATACACTACCAAATATAAAATAGATAGCTAGTGGGAAGCAGCAGCATAGCACAGGGAGATCAGTTCGGTGCTTTGCAACGAACTAGAAGGGTGGTATAGAGAGCGTGGGAGGGAGGCTCAAGAGGGAGGGGATATGGGGATATATGTGTGCATATGGCTGATTCACTTTGTTGTACAACAGAAACTAACACAGTATTGTGAAGTAATTTTACTCCAATAAATATGTATTTAAAAAAACCACAACCACATCGACCTCATCCTTTTGAGAGAAACCTCTTTATGTTCTAAACTGATGATAAGCCACAGTTTTAAAAAAAAAAAAGTACATGAGTCCCCCTAATTGTCTTCACTAAGTCTAAAGAACAAAATAGCCTATGCTACATACTTACTGTCACTGCTGCCCCCCCAATACTATTCAGTGTTTTATCTACCGTTTCTTTCCTCCCCGTGTTACATGCTGGGAGAGAGAATTTTAAAAGTAGTGGTTGAATCATCTGATGTTCTTTAATTGCAACAGTTATACTCCCTAGTTACACATTACAGTAACCTGGAAAGCTTTGAAAATTTACTTATTCCAGGTGCCATTAAATCATATTTTCTGGTGTTGGGGAGACAAGACGCCCCAAACAAAGTAAAATAGTTTATATATAATATGAGGTGATTAATATGTTAAAATGCAAAGAAAAAGTGAGTTCATAGAAGGTAGTGATTATTGTTAGCTGAAGTTTTAAAAGAACATAGGTGGAGTTGGGGCTTGAGTTAGAACATTCAAATAATATCCTAGGTGGAGGCCTAAGGAGAGAGCTTGATGGAAGGAAAAATTATGAACTATGCTTGAGTCTCCAAATGAACTCAAATTGGTTGGGGAAGAGTGATTGAGACAAGCCTGGATAGTTTTAATATTCATTTGGGAAGCAATGGAAATTGATATTATATAACCGGCTAAAACCAGATGATGGAGATGATTGAATAGAAGGCTGAGGGTTCATCCTGTAGTTAAAATGGTTTTCATCAGAGAGGAAGGGAATGGGATTAGAGAGAGAGAACAGCATCCAAAGCTCTTGGGGGTCTTGAGGGTGCCCAGTTATAGTCCTGCTGTTTTCTGCAGCAGGTTTGATGATTTGGAGCTATCACTCTTCTCTCGATACATATCTTTCTCATTGCTCATTACCTAATGTTCATATCCCTGATACCCAGATTGTATGTGCAACTATTGGAATGTGTTTGCATTTACGGAATATGTCTCTGGTATTATTCATTGTACCTCTCCTAACAGCAACTCACAAAATTTAAGTACTTTCACAATGGTAATGAGCTCTACTCTAGTTACATAGTCTTGGATAAATCACCTAACCCCTTCAGTCTTGATTTTTTCATTTATGCAACAAAGAGACAAGTCTAGGTATTTTCTAATCTTATGTATAGAACTAACATCACATACATTTCTTATGGTTATTCTCAGCCATACAAAGGATAAGGCTTGTAACTGGGACTGTTTCTTAACCATTTGCCCCCACTAGGTTTGGGCACACTACTATTTAAATAAAGAAGTGTACATCTTTCATTTTTTCTGATCAATTCAAATAAAAATAACATGTTTGACAAGAAGGAAATAATATTGATCTTATTTATTTTCATTCTTTAGGACTGATGAATGAAGGCAAATAATACAATTGTAGGCTAATAAACTATACTGACATAAATATTTGAGACCAGTAAAGGAAATCATCAGATTCCATGTCGTTTATACATAAAGTTTACAGAGCAAATAGTTAATATTTAAAAGATTTTAATATATACTCCAAAATGGACAATTTAGGAGTACATAATTATATAACATCGATTCTGTTAGATATGTGAATGTATATATTTTTGTTTTCCGTAAAATAGTTTCATGCTTATAAAAGTCACCCTTAGTCAACGTGGGACAAAGAGAACAACATACAGTAGAAATAAACCAAGTAGTAAATAGGGTATAAGTAAGGAAAATATTATAAAGCAGTTACATTGTTGACACAAAAGAAAAAAAATAAATTCACTTTTCTATTACTTAAAGGTAATTCACAGTCATTTCCAGGAATTCTGTGAGAATTTAAGGCCATTTGTTCTAAAGATATGTTTTAATTTAGACACAACTGTCATTCTTGTCACAAAACTGCAATTCTCATAAAAACTGTACATGCAAAAACTCTTTACAATTAATTGTGGATAGGCAGATCAGTCAGTATATAGGAGTGGGTTATTTCACAAATGTGTTGTGCACTACGTCACATGGTTGTGTATATTTAACTGGGAATTTCGCAAAAAACTTCCAGCCTGTGCACCCTGCGTGGCAACTTGGAAAGGAATTCAAATCAAGAGAGCCAGTATCCATTTGACTTAAAATATCTAGACAAGGTACAATGAAATAGAAAGTTTAAAACATCTGCTACATGGTTGACAGTCAAATATTCTGGATTTTAGTCTTTCTACATAGTATTGTAATATAAAGATGCTACTTTTTACACCAAGTATTTTCTGTGCATTTACAGTTCACGATGTTTGACTTTTTATTATTTCTACTTAGCATTACAAAACATAAACAAATTGCAGTCTAAATTTAGAACCCAAACTTCATGAAAAATGCATGTTCTTTCAGAATACACATCTGCTAAGTGTAAACTCCCATACTTGGCAAATGGCACAGAGGAACTGATTACTAAGCAGATACAGCTTCATAAGACAATTCACTTACTGAGAAATATGGAAGTATATTTACCTTCCCTTGCTTGCAATTGCATTTCTCCAGACAGTCATTCAAAGAGATATTGCTCTTGTGATTATAGCTATTGCAATTTAGAAGACAAAGGATTCAATATTCAAAACTTGTATTCTTAAGAACAGTTATAAAAGTATTGGAATCTAAAAAGTAGTAACATGTAAACATTGATATAGAGAGACCGCTTTCCTATATACATAGCAGTCAAGGACAATATTTGAGTTAAAAACACAGGTTGTGCTTTTTCCCAACAGTACATTGGAAATTAACTGTTTCTGTCTAGAAAACATTTAAAGATTCAGAGAATACATCCATATTTTGCTTCAAGCACTTAAACAATTTTTCTGTTGCTCATGCAACAACCGTATTTACAGTTTTGGTTTAGGAAGATAATAAATTTTGGATCCAAGAAAGCATACAAACCAATACTGCTGAAACCAAACTGAGAAAAGTATCTCATTCCCTGGTTCCTTATAGAGCACCAGGAGAAAAGCATGGACTCAGCAGTTCTAACTGAAGTGTAGTTACGTTAGCATTTTGGAGCACAGTCATATTTGAGTATGTAACACATGTGTAGGTGGGGTGTACGGGGGAGGTGCAGGTGATGGCTTGATTCCTCTGGTCCTCATGTAGGAGAGAAACTGCTCTGGGATCTCTGCTAGGACATCTTTAGCTAATCTAGCCATGCTGAGTATGTGGTTTCCGCTTCTGTCAATATAATCTCTGAATGGCACAAACTAAATCAGAGGTGAAAGAAAGTTATTTAACAGACCTTAGCATGCTATTTAAATAAATAAAAAAATAGACACAAAACCCAACATATGTAAACATTTGGTTGTAGGAGAATCAGAGAAGCCTGGAGTAATGGTGAGATGCATGATAATAACTATGCATTTTAAAGATATTTGATTTATTACAAATAGCTCTAACAGTGGCCACAACTTTCTAATATATACTTTATCTAAAAAGGGATGTAATCTTTACCTATGTTTTTCCCCACAATAACTCTTGTCTCCGGGTCCTGATACACCCATCATGTTGCTACATGTATTCTGCAGTTTTGAGTTCTACACCTAATTGGATGGAGCATTATCCTCTTCAGGGCTCAGTTTCTTGTCAAATGGAATTAATGCATGCTTAATTCAGCTTTCAATGTAGAAGTATTACTCAAATCAGGGTTAAAAATAATGTATATTGTTAAAGAGTCCTAAACACATGTAAAGTATTTTTAATTATATTACTAGACCATCAAATCACATAGACAATGAATACAAAATTTACACAGTTCACATTAGTAGGTACCCAAAATATTCAGTACATTGAATCATGCCCCAAATGTTTGTTTTTTATATCTGTTATTTGGAAAGGCAAAAAATAAACAACCAAAAACCCTCAGTATAAGATTTTGGTATACTTCTCATTGAAATATCATCAAATATCAATATTCTTATTTTTACATTACATAAAAATGATTGTTCTATCTTTATATAAACAATCATGTGAGAATAATTATCACTGAATACTCTGGCAATAGATTGCCTGATTCCATTCTCATTTATAATGGTTACTTAATAAACACTGTGCTGTTTGTTGGCATTAGTTCAATTTCCCCTTACAGACATCATGATTCTTGAAAGCAACTGGGAATGATTGTAACTGTTAATGTTGTGATAGTTTGGGGACACAGTAATTTTAGGTCTTGGAGAAAAGGCACAGCGAAGACATTTCAGGAGGTTGAACAATTTTCAAATATAATATTTTAAAGTTTATATTAAATCAGTTTTTCCTCCAGAGAAACAGAGAGTGTTCACACTTTCATCTCATAGTGTAATGTAACTGTTTTAAATTTATTTTGAAAAATTTACTTTTGATTTAAGCAGTTACCCAAGATGTGCCTTCAGAAAATTAACTTTTATTAGGAAGCAGACTTTAAACCACTCAGGTTGCGACAGATAAAGCAGGTTAAAATGTTAAGAAATCAAATAGCAAATGTAATACCATTTATGAAGTGAAAGCAGTCTCTTTTAAGGAAGAGCAGAAAAGTACTCCTTTCTTTTTAAAATAAGGTACCTTATAGACAGAAGCATACACATATGACCATAATTTTACCCTGTCTTGATACCAGGTGGAAAACTCAGCACAACTTTTAGAAAAGTGTGATAGAAAGGTGACAAATCTTTCTCTTACCCTAAAGGTAGCTAAGTAAGGGTAAGGAAAAACTAACAGTGAATATAATATTCAGCTGAGAAGAGAAATAGGAGGATATGAACATTAGTGAAGTCATATTATCTGACTTGGACAAGACCTGACAAAGAGGTGCAAACAAATTTAGGTTTATTTTTCTCTCTGAAACTATAATTAGAAAGGTAAGAAAATAAGAATCAACATAGTGAGGGATTAATAAGAAAAAGATCTCTAATTTCAGCTATAGCTTATTTCATTCTTATTTTAAAAGGCATAGTATTTTAAAAAAATTTAGTAATGATATGGTTAGTATATACATAATTACCTTTTTTCATTTTATTTATTTTTTAACATCTTTATTGGAGTATAATTGCTTTACAATGGTGTGTTAGTTTCTGCTTTATAACAAAGTGAATCAGCTATACATATACATAATTATCTTTTAAACTATTTGTTAGGAGATCAGTTTTTGAAGAATCTATAGCTAATACCTACATTTCAGGGAAATGGCAACACTCTAGCAGATAGTTGATACTTCTCTAGGGAAGGGGGATATTATACCTGCTGTGTTTTTCCTTTACCTCAACTTTGCTCTTATATTTACTTTTACTTTGGTCTTTACTCTTCTCTTAGACCATGGTAATTAAATTCAATTATCTTTTTACTCCCTATTCTCAGAAACTCTGGAATTAGACTTCCCAGGTTCAGATGCTGGTTCTGCTGCTTATTAGCTGTGTGGTCTTGGTATTCTCTCTGACTTAGTTTCCTCTTCTATAACATGAGGATAATAATAATAATGCCTACTTCATTAGGTTGCTGTATTAAATAAGTCAACACATAAGTGCATAAAATAGTGTTCAACTCATAATATGTATAGTATGATAGTCATTATTATTACTATTCATTAATTTATAAATTATGTGCAATATAAATATGAGACTTTTCTTTCTAGTCTTTTATTTACATTCATATCAAACTTTAACTATTTTTACCAATTTTTTATCTCTTTCAAACTCAGGTACCAGTATTATAATCTAAAACTGTAATTCCTGACCTTTTTGTTATTTTAAAACACCTGCTGTTTCACCTTTCCAGCAAATGCTATAGGATGTGCTAAATTTTTTATTGAAGTAAATATAAATTCATTTTTAAGAATGTTATGATACTCTGGAATGTCAAAACTAAGATTCATAATCACTGTTCTCATAATACATACACTTCTACTCATCTTTAAAACATGTTCATAAACAATGGGTAAGAAAGAAATCTTAATTTTCAGCTGAGGAGGGAAGTATATATCTCATTTAACTTACGTTTGCTAAATGCAGGCACAGATTCTGATACGTCCCTTGAGTATTAAGGGACCTTGCCCCTGGGTTAAGCGTAACTGTTATAGCAAGTGATATTATCAACAGGAGCATCTCTTATCCCACATGTGTGTTGGGAGCAGAGAAAAAGATGTTGAGAATCTTCTACTCAATAACCTAAAGTATCCAATCCTTTTCCAAAGGAATATTCATCTCTTCAGTCAAGTCATGAGGTACTTCCCTAAGTGAGAGATGAAAATGACAAGTGTCTCTGTTTCCTTTACCTCTTATTAATGTTAAACCTTACACTTTTGATGACAAAAATATATTCTCTTTCTTTTTGGACTATTGCTGATATCCTTCTACAGTAACAATTTTCCACTCAACTTCTCAGACCCCTCTGTTTATTGTCCCTTTTAATCACTAATTTCTGATCACTGTACCTGGGGACCTCCTGTTCAAAATAACACTCACACATTTGTGAATGTATGTTGATCACTGACTATTACCACAAATTAACTTGGACCCTTAAACTGTTCAGGTTAGAGGAACAAATCAATTTTTACTTTGCACTCATTTATCCCATTCATATGAAGAATACAAATAAATGCATTCTGTTCAGTTGAAATATACCATTTCCTTGACACGCTACATCTTTCTTTTAGCATCTATCCTGTACAAGGAAAATGTTCTATGTGGTTGCTCTAACAGCTAGCTCTGCCTATTTGTGAAAAAAGTTTGAATCAGTTTGGGCAAATGAGCTTTTAGTTGTGGTTCTGCTCAATTTTATTTGATTGTTCCTACTTTGCAGAGCTCCATTAGTGATTTTCAAGTCTAAGCCTTCAAGGTAATTTTTCTCCTTTTAATGAAAGATATGATTTAAATATAATTTTTAAGGGAGTGATAGGCTGGACAGCAGCTGAATGCAGCCAGGAGAAATGATATTGCATTATATACAATGGCCAATCCACAGCACAAGCAAGCAAAGAAACAAATGGAAAGCCTTTACATATATTGATTTAAGAAAATAATTCATTTAAGTTTTAGAATAACAACCATAGAATCTCTTCCTGCATACTGTTTATATTATAGTCATATGAGAGTGAATCTTGAGGCAATGAACATAATCACACATAAGACTGACTACAGTGTCATATGTCAAGGTACAGTTACTATGAAACGGTGACATAAAAATGCCTTCCCACTGGACTATGCCAAAATACTAATAATAATAACTGAAACTGATATTAATGCATTTATTGAGCAACTGGTAGGTGAGAGGGCTTCAAGTGATTTAGTACAATATCTTATTCAGTTTATTACAAAACAAAAAGGTAAGAGAGCCTAAATAGACCCTATTTTCTGATATTATTTTAGCCAGCAGTGTTTATAGCATTGATTATGATGGCTTAGATATTTCCTGGTGGTAGGAAGATTGACAATATTATTCTTGGTGTGCCCTTGCAACCCCAATATTGTAAATATTCAAGAATATTTCTATTCTTAAAAATAACTCATTTAAAAAATGTTTTAGTGAATGGTAGGACCAGGAAACCTGTAATGGTGGAAGGTTTTAAAATTTTATTCAAGGTGAGAGAAAAAATGTTAATTCTTGGACACAATGTGATATATAAATGTTTACCCTGGGAACTTTTTTTTTTTTTTTTTTTTTTGCTGTATGCGGGCCTTTCACTGTTGTGCCTCTCCCGTTGCGGAACACAGGCTCCGGACGCGCAGGCTCAGTGGCCATTGCTCACGGGCCTAGCCGCTCTGCGGCATGTGGGATCTTCCCAGACTGGGGCACGAACCTGTGTCCCCTCCATCGGCAGGCGGACTCTCAACCACTGCGCCACCAGGGAAGCCCAGTGGGAACTATTTTTAATAGACCAAATACCATTTAGCAACTTTTCCATGAAATTAGAAAAGAGTGCATCAGATATCCTTAACTAAATATAGACATGTAAGTCAAGGTGTCACTGTCATTCAGGAGGCTACTAATTCTCTGGGAAGATTTTAGTTTCTGTTCAGTATCTGTGAGATCTCATGACTCTTTCAGTTCAACTTTACATGGTAGAATCCCTTGAGTGTTTAGCTATATCGTCAGGTGTCTTCAAAATCTTTGGTGATCTCAGTGTCACTTAATGGTGATAGATTAGTCTCAAGATTTTGACTTTCAATGAGAGGAAATATATAATTTTATATATATATATGTGTATGTGTGTGTGTGTGTGTTTATGTATCTTATACTGATAAGTAACAAAGTATTTTCATGTCTGTTACTTCCTCTGAGACTCACCACATCATGGAAAGAGCGAAGATAAAAGAATGGAGAGTCTGGAGGTAATGAATGAAAGGCTCAAGGGAGATTTACTGACTTGTTCAAGATCATAGATCTGAGTCCTATCTCACTGTTCTGTCCAATGTAGCATATCCAATTAGAGATGAAATACTTTCATGATCAAGGGAATTTTTGTTTTATAAATAAAATAACCAACAACTGTTGGTTGTCACTAACATAACATGTTAATCCTCTTAAAGTAAATCTTAATGATGTGAGCAATCTTAACTATCTTCTAAGGGAGAGAGTAATACCAGTTTCCCTTAAGCAGCATTTAAATGATACTATGAGATATAAAGCTGTCTCTTTTAACTTTGTAAAAATGCATTACAACAGCAACATAATACATTTTAAAGGACTTCAAATTCATACTTCCATGTAGTAATTTGATTTTTTGGTTACTGTGAACTAGACATTATGGAGAGATTTTTAGAAAAAGTGTAATTACTTGGACTTATAATTATGCTAATCAGCATAAGGTGAATAATCGCGGGTCTACTTAAAAACAACAAAACATCGTGGGATTCTTAAATAGATGATCACATCACCACGTTCCCTTTCTCAGTTGCTTTTAAATGAATTATTCATGTGTGCGTGCTTTTTACGCTACCAAGAACATTAGGTTAAAATGTTAACATTTTAATGTTAATATTTAAACATTAGGTTTAAATCATATTTAATTATCTTCTTAAAAAACTGTTATACAGATGTTTCTATTTTAAAACTTAATTTTGCTGACTGATGAAGAAGAATGCTTTTTTATCTTTGTCAAGATTAATCTTTATAATATATTTACAGATTATTTTACATTATTCTCCCTCTCTAATTTTTAAAATTACTTTTGTTGTATTTTACCGAGTTCTATTTCAGTAATGTAATGTATTTTATATATACTATCTGATAAAATCTTTAAACAATGCCAGAACACTGAAGTTTAGAAAGCTTATCCAAGTTATCACAGTGGACAATCCAGGATTTGAACCAAATTCTCTTGGATTCCGAATTAGATTATCTTAATGACTGTATTATGGGTGAATATATAGGTTATTATTTAGGAGATAATATTGAATTCCATTGTTTGCTCCTTTAAGTGCTCAAATTGTACTGAGAACTTTCCTTTCCATTTAGTCTTCCCTTCACAGTCTTTTTTTGCTTCTGACTTCCTAAAAGATATGAAGACTCTAAAGTATGCAGAAATTTAGTTGATTTAATTCCTTTGTTTCAATTATAAATTTTAACTGCCTTTTTTCTTTCTATTCGCTCCCAGAATAGTAGGCTTTAGTTAAGTATTTTTGTTGATTCTAATAGAATTATGAATCATATATATGTCTATATATCTATATATAGAGATATATAATCTATTATTATGTTATATTTTATTATAGTGTTATACATATTATTATGTTACCATGTATTATATTAATATTATAATTTATATATTTTATATAATTTTTATATTTATATATAAGATCTATTTTTCCACTTTTCTAACCATAACCTATGGGAGAAATAGAACAAAATCTACATTTTTGGTTTGTTTCTACTAAGTTTACTTACACTGAATATGTATCAGCTGTCTTAAAATATATTTAATCTTTATTGAGGTCTAAGTAATAAATAAGCATCATTAAAAGCCTGTTATATTTCTAGGTTTTAATTTTACTAAAGATCTCAATGATATTTTCTGGTAATAATAAAGTAGGAAAAGACACTTATTAACAATTCTATTTTATGTATGGTGAACATGAAGTATGGGTGAAAGTAATTTGGTGCTTATTCTAAGCCATTACTTAACATGCATTTTATAGAGAATCAACTGCCTAAATTAAACAGAACCTGAGATGCTTGATTTCAATTTAAACTCTTCATTTACAAATCAGAGCTGACATGGGCTCTTCACAATGAACAAAATAAATAATTTTCATTAAATTTCTTACCTGCACAATGTCCCTTTCAGCATATTTTCCTCTGGAGGAAACTCTTACATCATCTCCATCCAATTCAACCATTGCTTGAAAATAAAATAGGATCATTTATTCAGTGCATTTTAGCTAAATACTATAACAAATGTAGGCAATAATGAAATCAAGATGTATGAAGTAGCAATATGTCCTATGCCAAAGGCAGGAAGCTTGTTGATCCTTTCATCTCCTCGGTGATTTCTTCCACAAAACTTAACTGAGTGCAAATTTTACAAGTGGAGAAAGCAAGCTAAGACCTCACGTGACCCTTAGAAAGATGAGGAGAGCCTGTGCAGTGTAGAAGTCTTTAGGTACATCTCCCCATTCTATAGATCCTTAACTCTGGATTACATGCTTACATGACTGATTCAGCAAGTGATGCTAATTCATTCAATTTTAATTTTTTCTTTCTAATTTAAGAAACTAGGCACTAATCATTATAGAACTTCCAATAACAATTTGAACTTTATTCTCTCTGAAACTACACAAAGCTATATAATCATATTGTCTGTAATCTTTTTATGAATAGATTTAAAAACAAAAAGGCATTTTCTCTGCTCTTATAGTGATTGGATAAAGCATGAAATTTCTGAAGTATGATTTTTTTGTTGATTAAAAATAATTTCAACATTACATAGGTCAACTGGTATTTGGGAATGCTGTGATATAACGGGACAGCTGGTATACAATAATGTTACGCTGCAATTAAGAACATTTTCCAGAGTTTAATGTTTCAGTGAGAATTCTCTAAATAACTAATTACACGAGGAATGCTAAGTTGTACTTAAAGTATATTCTCGTACTAATAATCCATTTTGTATGCACATGATATTCACCAGACTCCAGAGAGCCACTTGCAATTATGTTTGCTTTGTCGCCTTCTAAAATATATTAGAATACAATCCTCACCTTTTCACTATTTTCCTCAGTGCTTGGATAATGCATTTGGGTAAAAGACATTTTACTCTTTTTTCCTATTTTATTTTTTTTTGATTGAGGTATAATTGACAAATAACATTATATTATTTTTAGCTATATACCATAATGATTCGCTACTTGTATATATTGTGAAATGATCACCAAATAAGTCTAGTTGACCATACATAATTAAAAATTTTTTTCTTCTCATGAGAACTTTTAATATCTATTCTCTTAGCAACCTTCATATATGCAATACAGTATTAACTATACTAACCACACTGTACATTACATTCGTGCGATATACTTATTTTAAAACTGGAAGTTTGTACCTTTTGACTTCCTTCACCCACTTCACCCACCTCCAGTGCTGGCAAGCCTTTGGCAACCACCAATCTGTTTTCTATATCTATAAGCTTGTTTTTTTTAAAAAACAGGTTTTGAGTTTTACTTTTCTACACATGTTCAGGGATCAATGTCTGGGCTGAAACATTGCCAGTACACCTAACTGTTAGTGAGCCATCATCCAATAATCTCCTTAGATATATATGTCATAATTTAGTAACATGTAAATTACCAATAATAAGGTAATTAACATTCAAAATATAAAAGAGCTATTTTTTTTCTCTCCTACTTATTAGGGATTTAAATAGGAAAATTCATTATACCCAGATATTTTCAATAGTTAATTCCTTTTTTTGGTCTAAGTTTGTTTTCAAAATTTTCATATTACTTTGAGACATAAATGTACACTGATTGTGACATGCCAGCAATTGGAGAATTTTCTCCTTTATTATCTAGTTTGCTAATAACTCCTAACAATTACCCTATACTCACTCTAAAATGGGAAACAAAAATTAGATGATAATCTGGGCCTCACCTTCTACAATCCTCTACAATCTCCATTGGCCTTTGTAAGTGTTCTACTTCAATTAAAGAAAGTGACAGTTATTCAGGCAATAGTGTAATAGAATGAGATCCTATAAAATATCTCCCACTTTTCAGTATGTCCTTTGAGTTAAAAGGCTATGGGTAGCAGAATTGGAGGCTACACTTTTGAGAACAAGGAGAAAAGAAATGGCATATAAGTGGTGGAAGGGAAATGTTCACCCTTCAGTTTTTCAGATCATCTAGTCCTCAAGGAGCCTGAAATTGTAAGCAGAGGTTCCCCATCAGTACCCGTCTCTGGAAAAAAGATGTATAAGATACAGACCTGTATTTCTTTCTAGCCTTGGGAGACAAAATCATGTTAGAATCCCTTATAGTTCTCTCCCTTTCCTAACTTGTATCAAAGCAGTTAACCAGATGCTACTTTAATTTGACTTTTTGCCTTTTAAGGATAAAGAAATCCTGCTTTGAGAAATTATACAGAAAGTTTTAAATTGTTCTTATTGAAATAAAGAAACAAGACATTTAAATACTCATGAATCTAGTAGTTTATTTATATTTCCTCTACCTTCAAATAATGAATGGCAAAATGCTGCATTTCTTGCCTGTGCAAACCTCCTGGTTAAGTTACGTGTAGATGTTGGATTTATGTGGTTAACTGATAAAATCTGCAAGTTTTATTTCAGTCTTTATGTCAATTTATGCGTGCTATTTAAACTTACTTATGGTAGATTTGGAAGTGCCTAGAAAAACGCTCTTCTGATAGGATAGCAGCAACTTGAATATAAGTCAGAAATTTTCTTCCAGCAGGGTGAAAGCAGAAATCAGGTGTTTCAGGACCTTACTTCCCTGTTCACAGGTTTGCCAGAGGACAGTTTCACTTTAATTCCCAGGAGGGAATTCTATGGGATGGCAACTTCCCTCTTTGTCTATAATCTTTGCTCACTTTTCCTCATGAAAAGAGGAGTGATTCACAAGATAACTAAGATTGGGAGATGGAACGATCTTGAATCTCTCTCTTTTGGAGCAGCCTATCCTCAAGTTGAAGACAATTTCTCCCTGTGGCATGCTTAATAGGCAAGGATCTGCCCCTGTACAGAGAAGGCCTGGAGATAAAGGTGAGGTCATTTAATCTTTGGGGAAAAAAGTAGCAAGAAGTCTGATTCTGTGCACAGGGCAACCCAAATTCTCCAATTCTACACTACTATTAATAAAATATATTCTGATCTCTGAGTGACTCCTGCATGTTTTTTTTTTTTTCGTTAATTCAAGAAGTCAGAGAGGGAAATGATGAATTTTCATACCTCAAAACCCTGATAAATAATTCACTGGGAACAAAAAAATTGAGGAAAATAAATAGGTGTGGCAGTTGTAAGAAGGTAGTATCCAAATAGCTGTGCCTACTGCTTTGAATAGAAATTTATGACCAGAAATATACATAGGAAGAGCCAGTGGCTCTCTATTTACACATTATGCGTGGGAGCTGTTGGGGAACAAGTGACAGGGCTTACACCTAACAACGGCCTTCCATAGGAGTCTGGGAGACCTGGAATTTACCCAATGAGAAGTGCATACTTGAGAGGCAAAAGCAAATTAGTAACTGAAGAAGAAATCATGAGTTATTTTAACCTAGCAATCAGTGAAGTTTGTGAACCACAGTCTGTCACTGCTTAATGCAGATGACCAAGTACACAAAGTGTTAACAAGAAAGATGTGTCTTAGCTTTCCTGACTCCATAGTGGTATCTCAGATTCATGCCTGATGGACAATGTAAACAGATGTAAATATTCAGAGACACAGAAAATATTAGCAGGAGCTAAAATGACTTCTGCTTCAGAAACTGGAAGATTATAATGATATAAAGTGTGACCAGCCAAGCATGGAATCAAAGGAAAGAATTTTCAGGATCAGCAATATAACTGCTTGTGTTGTTTTACCTGAGACTGAGAGATCTATACTATCCTTATGGAGGAGGCACTGGTGGTTAAACAAGAATCATCCTAGTGATGATCATACAAAAATTAACCACCTATGTGCCTAAATTAACCTGTAACAACCAAAAGTTGTTCCAAATATTCTAAAATTATTCTCATTTCTAAAGTTCCAAGCTAAATACTGTCATCATTAATGTAAAAACACCTGAGCAAGGTGAATGTTCTGTGGTTATGCAGTTGATGTCTAGCATAGAGTTCTCTTAAAGGAATTCATCAGGTGATGAGGAATAGGCTATCCTTAGAGAAGTTTACCCAGATCAGTAGTCACACAAACACCCGTCACACTAACTGGCATTTGAAGATGGCGTGAGCCCAAACAGAAAAGTACCCAGTAAGTGAATTTAGCATAATTGTATAAAGTCTCATTAAATTTCAGATGGTCAATTCCATTTTCATTTTACTTTGCTCTTTCATATGACAGAACTTAAATTTTTATAAAGATAATGTCTATCAACTAGCCAAGGTCTGAAAATCCATTATTATGCTTGTGTTAATATTTCTATTTTACAACCTAGTGGTTTATTAATTTAGTGCTCATCCTTAAAAGTTTTTAGGGAATCCAGAGTGTATTTTGCCTTGGGAACAAAAATTCAATTTATCACTCGGTCTTAAGAAATATTTTCAGGTACACACCATCTTTAATAAAACAGAAAGCTACATGTTGAATTATCCTATACTACAGAGATAATGTCCTACTCAGAAGACATCCTTTTAATTTACTCACCTTAATAGACTCCATCATGTAATATCTATATTTATGTCTATATGTACATGGACACTGTATACAAATCCATATGCACACTCACATCCTTATATGCAAAAAATGAGTGATAGAAACCTAGGTGCATAATGAGTCAGATTAAATAAACTCCCAAGGAATACTATTGAAATTTTATTACTCACCATCAAATTCTGCTGGCCCAACACCTACTATAATTATTGACATTGGAAGTTTTGAAGCCTTCAAAGAGAACACACAGTTAGTTCACAATTAAGAAACTGAATTGAGAAAACAACTAAGAATTAAGAAGAAAAAAATATCCTGAGCTTTGATGTTTTTCACAGATGTTCATATTTTGAACATATTTAAATTAACACAGAATAATATACTTGATTCCACTCTTATCCTTTCTGAACTCTGTACATATGCTAATTCAGTGGGATGTTCTTCAGGAATGACCAGTCTTGGATAATATATTTTTTTTAAAAGTACTGAGCATCTGCTTTCACTTGCTATCCTCAGACAAAATATTCCTAAGCTGATTCTGGGTACCTTTGGTCTCTTTTTCCATGTTCTCTCTCCACTCAAAAATGTTTCAGTTGCTAAAAGGGAAAAAAAGGTACCATATTTGTGAAAAAGTAGTACTCTATTTCATTTATAGCTATGGTTAGGAAAAGCAATTTTCATAGTAAATGAATGCATACAAATGATAATTATAGAAAGTTATTATTAGTATGATAAAATAATTTTATGGTAAGAATATAAGATCCACCAACAGGTAGGTAGAACAGTATAGCAACCACATCTTCAGCTGTGAAGGTCACTGAATTATGAATAACTGTTCCTCAGTGCATGTCCTGTTAGTTTAAACCTAAATTACTAAGTCCATATTTTAAAGAGCATGCTAAGGCCACTGATCAGAACATAAAGGAAATCAGGACAAATCCAACCCAGTGTGTCTAGTCAAAACCAAATAAACAAACAAGTAAATGTGCAAGATTCTACCTCTCTTCCTTTTTGTGTTTGGTTTTCCTAAGTGTATGTCTATAAACATTTGATTTTTTCCCACATGTAACTATTTTTTTCTCACACAAAAAGCTAATTATATTTTCCCTATGCTATTAATAATTATGAAGTATGATAAACAATTCTTTCACACAGTCCATTTTTACAAATGTCTATTTTGTGTCAAACATTGCTAAACCTGAGTATAGAAAGGTAAGTAAAAACAGATATAATTTTAGAGGTTGCAGTCTAGTAAATATAGATGTTATAAATCATAGTCTAATAAAGAAGACAATGAATCATAAATATAACACATAATTAGGAACAATGAGAAAAATGGATTTTGAATCAATGCTAGTCCTTATCCAGTTCTATAAATATAGAAATTAGCACAGTTCTCCTGTGACTATTACTGTAAATGTAAATGTTAAAGAAATATTCTGTACAAATTGTACAAACTATATACAAGCACATCAAACTAATCAAGATAAACACAGTCATGCACATGAAGGTGATGCTATTATTTATTTTATTTTAATTTTTTGGAAATAATTTTGTTACAACCCAATTATTCACACCTCTTAGTTTGGTCCCTATGGATGAATGCCACAATGTGTGTGAGTTTTCTGGATAACGCAATTGGCTGCAAAGGCATGGGCATTTTGTTTCACACTTAAGTTAACTAACTAGACTCTAGTTAGTCAACCTAAGTAGCACCATGCATTCAGTTAGCCAGCCCAAGACTGAATGACTCCTACTTACATTAACTATGGACTCTTTAGTTTGAGCCATATCTGAGATAACGCCGTCTGTCACAATAAGTAGCACAAAATACTGGGAGCCATCCTTTACAGAAGAAGCATATCTGAAAGGCAAAGAAAAGGTAAAGAATGCCACAAAATAAAACATTTCCTCTCGACATGATAGTTGCTAAATATAACTTGGAATAGCCAACAAACATCTCAAGAAAATATTTAAACATATCTTAAGAGCCTGTATATGAAAACTCTCAAATATGCATTTTTTTCTGAAATAGCACACTAGAATAACAGCAACATTACTGCATGCTAGCACAAAGAAATGCCTGGCTGCCTTAGAAATTCATTCACTAATAAAAGGTGAGCTGGATGGTATGTTAGCACAGAGGAATGGCTACAGCTTTTGGAAATAGACAATGGCTAAGCAACATATTATGTGTATGATCTTCAGTATAACATTACATAAGCTATCTGAACTTTATTTTCTCATCTTTAAAATCAAGATAATGCAACTTTGTATTGTTAATAAAGAAATTTCATGTATGGTAGTAAATATTTATACAGTTATATAACTGGTAGATTTTATATATGGTAATTTATATAAGTGATTATGATTTTTGTTTTGGAACTATATAGCAGTGATGATTGCCCAACATTGTGAATATGCTGAATGTCACTGAACTGTAAACTTTAAAATGGTTGGTTTTATGTCGTGAATTTCACCTTAATAAAAAAAATGCAACAGAAGAAACACTTTTTGACATAGTTATAGTTCCAATTCTTAATACGTGTTAAATTGGTGAAAGATGGGAAGGAGAATTATAGCAAACAAAGACAAAAATTAGGTATGTAATAAGAACATATTCTAGTACTGAATTCTCACCAAATAATACTCAGACATTTAGAGGAAAATTTTATGACTATATTTTATCTCTTTTTTTCCATTGTGTTCTACCATTATGGGTATCTAGATTATATTCTCAATAGAATGACTTTTATGATTTTTAGTACATAACTAGTATGCCGGTCATATCTAGTAATGAGCAAGCACTGTGGTGCTTGTAGGAGATAAATAGTTAACAAGAAGACTTTGGTCTACTTTCATAAAAAATCATCAAGTAAATCACAGAAAAATTGATTTCAAGAAACTTCTTTTGATTACCAATGAAAATTTTTCAGTACCTGATGGACTCTAAATAATAAATTTTTAACAGTTTGGGGAAAAACCAATAGCATAATATGACAGGGAAAAACATTTCTTGTAAAGCAGAATTTATAACTATATGAACAAGAAAATATTTACAACTTTGCCATAGACAAGAGAAACGAATTGCTCATGCTGTTAATAAAATGATTGGTAATTTTATAGATTGATGAAGATAATACAGCAAGGGATATGTTCATACACTGAGGAGCCAGTTAAAAATAGCATTGAACTTGTTCTCCAACATATAGTCAAAAATGCTCTCACAATGTTGAACAATTGATCTTCGACACTAAGGAATTTTTATTAATTTGATGGTAACACAGCAATGAAAAAATCCAAAGCAGGTATGAACCTACTCTCCTATTTTATGCTTAAATATTTTTTCTTAAGAAAAGATGTAGGATAATCTCCCTCAGGAATTCATTTTTTAATTTTTAAATACCCATTATTTTTAAAAAGCATTTTTTACTGACTATGCTTCAAAAACATATGGATTATATTTCATGTGATTAACAGGAGGTTATAAATAGTGAGAAAAACTTCTATGAGTACAACTCTATGGCTTTTATGCTTTTCATACCAAATGATGTGTTGAAAATGGTGAGAAGATGGAAAGTTGAGCATTATGCAATCTTATGAATATCACTTCAAGTGGCTTAACTGATCCTTTTTCTGGGGGGGATGTTTACTTTTTTAAAATTAATTTTTATAGGAGTAGAGTTGAATTACAATGCTGTGTTAGTTTCTGCTGTACAGCAAAGTGAATCAATTATACATATATATATATATATATATCCATTCATTTTTAGATTCTTTTCCCATGTAGGCCATTACACACTATTGTGTTGAGTTCCCTGTGCTATACAGTAGATTCTTTTTTTTTTTAATTAATTAATTAATTTTTAGTTTTGGCTGCCTTGGGTCTTTGTTGCTGTGCTTGGGCTTTTCTCTAGTTGCGGTGAGCAGGGGCTACTCTTCATTGCGGTGTGCAGCCTTCTCATTGGGTGGTTTCTCTTGTTGCAGAGCATGGGCTCTAGGCGTGTGGGCTTCAGTAGTTGTGGCACTCAGGCTCAGTAGCTGTGGCTTGCAGGCTCTACAGCGCAGGCTCAGTAGCTGTGGTGCATGGGCTTAGCTGTTCCATGGCATGTGGGATCATCCTGGACCAGGGCTCGAACCCGTGTCCCCTGCACTGGCAGGTGGATTCTTAACCACTGTGCCACCAGGGAAGTCCCTACAGTAGCTTCTTATTAGTTATATATTTTATATATAGTAGTGTGTATGTGTCAACCCCAATCTCACAATTTTTTCTCTCCCTCACCTTTCCCCCTTGGTAACCGTAAGTTTATTTTCTACATCTGTGACTCTATTTCTGCTTTGTAAATAAGTCCATTTGTACTATTTTTTTAGATGCAACATATAAGAAATATCATATATTTGTTTTTCTCTGCCTGACTTACTTCACTCAGAATGACAATCTCTAGGTCCATCCATGTTGCTGCCAATAACATTATTTCATTCTTTTTTACGGCTGAGTAATATTCCATTGTATATATGTTCCACATCTTCTTTCTCCATTCTTCCATCAATGAACATTTAGGTTGCTTCCATGTCCTGGTTATTGTAAATAGTGCTGCAATAATCATTGGGTTGCATGTATCTTTTTGAATTATGGTTTTCTTGGGATATATGCCCAGGAGTGGGATTGCTGGATCATATGGTAACTCTATTTTTAATTTTTTAAGGAATCTCTATAGTGTTCTCCATAGTGGCTGTACCAATTTACATTCTCATCAACAATGTAGGAGGGTTCCCATTTCTCCACACCTTCTCCAGAATTTATTGTTTGTACATTTTTTTGGATGACGGCCATTCTGAATGGTGTCAGGTGATACCTCATTGTAGTCTGATTTGCATTTCTCTAATAATTAGTGATGTTGAGCATTTTTTCATGTGCCTTTTGGCCATCTGTATGTCTTTTTTACAGAAACGTCTTATTAGATCTTGTGCCCATTTTTTGATTGGGTTGTTTGTTTTTTGATATTGAGCTGCATGAGCTATTTATATATTTTGGTGACTAATCCCTGGTCGGTCACTTCATTTGCAGATGTTGTGCTGGCCAAAAAGTTCATTCGGGTTTTTCCATAGATATTTTCTCCCTATCTGTGGGTTATCTTTTCATTTTGGTTATGGTTTCCATTGCTGTGCAAAAGCTTTTAAGTTTGATTAGGTCCCATTTGTTTATTTTTGTTTTTCTTTTCATTACCCTAGGAGGTGGGTCAAAAAGGTCTTGCTGCGATTTATTTCAAAGTGTGTTCTACATATGTTTTCCTCTAAGAATTATAGTATCTGGTCTTACATTTAGGTCTTTAATCCATCTTGAGTTTCTTTTTCTGTATGGGGTTAGAGAATATTCTAATTTCATTGGTTTACATGTAGCTGTCCAGTTTTTCCAGTACCACTTACTGAAGAGACTGTCTTTCTCCATTGTATATTCTTGCCTCCTTTGTCACAGATTAGGTGACCATAGGTATGTGGGTTTATCTCTGGACTTTCTATCCTGTTCCATTGATCTATATTTCTGTTTTGTGGCAGAACCACACTGTTTTGATTAATGTAGCTTTGTAGTATAGTCTGAAGTCAGGGAGCCTGATTCTTCCAGCTCCGTTTTTCTTTCTCAAGATTGCTTTGGCAATTTGGGGTCTTTTGTGTCTCCATACAAATTGTAAATTTTTTTGTTCTAATTCTGTGAAAAATGCTATTGGTAATTTGGTAGGGATTGCAATGAATCTGTAGACTGCCTTGGGTAGTATAGTTATGTTGACAATATTGATTCTTCCAATCCAAGAACATGGTATATCTCTCCATCTGTTTGTGTGATCTTTGATTTCTTTCATCAGTATCTTATAGTTTTCTGAGTACAGGTCTTTTTCCTCCTTAGGTTTATTCCCAGGTATTTTATTCTTTTTGATGGGATGATAAATGGGATTGTTTCCTCAATTTCTCTTTCTAATAATTCATTGTTAGTGTATAGGAATGCAAGAGATTTCTGTGTATTAATTTTGTATCCTGTAAGTTTACCACACTCATTGATAAGCTCTAGTAATGTTCTGGTAGCATCTTTAGGATTTTCTATGTATAGTATCATGTCATCTGAAAACAGTGATGGTTTTACTTCTTCTTTTCCAATTTGGATTTCTTGTATTTCTTTTTCTTTTCTGGTTGCCTTGGCTAGGGCCTCCTAAACTATGTTGAATAAAAGTGGCAAGATGGACATCCTTATCTTGTTCCTTATCTTAGAGGAAATGCTTTCAGTTTTTTTACCATTGAGAATAATGTTTGCTGTGGGTTTGTCATATATGGACTTAATTATCTTGAGTTAGGTTCCCTCTATGCCCACTTTCTGGAGTGTTTTCATCATAAATGGGTGTTAAATTTTGTTGAAAGTTTTTTCTGCATCTACTGAGATGATCATATGAATTTTATTCTTCAGTTTGTTAATGTGGTGTATCACATTATTTGTGTTTATTGAAGAATCTTTGCATCTCTGGATAAATCCCACCTGATCATAGTGCATGACTCCTTTAATGTGTTTTTTGATTTGGCTTGCTAGTATTTTGTTGAGGATTTCTGTGTCTATGTTCATCAGTGATATTTGAGCCTGTAATATTCTTTTTTGTGATACCTTTGGTTTTGTATCAGGTTGATGGTGGCCGTGTATAATGAGCTTGTGAGTGTTCCTTCCTCTGCAATTTTTTAGAATTGTTTCAGAAGGATAGGTGTTAACTCTTTTCTAAATGTGTGACAGAATTCACCTGTGAAGCCATCTGGTCCTAGACTTTTGCTTATTGGAAGTTTTTAAAGCACAATTTCAATTTCCATATTTGTGATTGGTGTGTTTAT